TATCTCTTTTGTTCTTCACCTTCTCTTTTCTAGTTCTCATCATTTTTTTCTGTTCTTCTGTTTCTCTGGCTGTTCATTATGTGGTTTTTACTTTAGATTATGCACTTTTTAACTGTCACATTTCTGTATTCTTGCAAAAAATGATGAAATTAGAACAAATTTGAAATAAGCAATGTTTGAATACTTGGAGGATAGTAAAACATCGGAGGGAGGTTGATACTGAAACAAAAGAGAGATGATTTTGTATGTAATAGCTCATTTCATTCCTTCACAAGAGATTTTTTATACACTCGGACAAAATGAACGTGCATAATATTTCCAGGTGTGTCGGACACCAAGTATTCATCGAGGGAAGTGCTCTGGGGATCGTTGCTAAATGTTTTCTGACCAAATTAGCTAGTTTAGTGTTTGCTTGGTTTGAAGTTGACCCAGCCATATAAGCTAATAGTACAAGTCAAATTCCTATTTGGAGTGGGTTTATTTCTGTTCGTCGATCGGTTCCGTTTGACACGGATCCATTCCATTATTGGCGGCTTGGAAGAGTCGCCATTCATCGGTCGTTGAGGCTGTTTGCCTCTCCCGTTCTTCAGATCCGTGTTGTAGCGGATTCCGTCGGTGGACTCCATCGCTTTGGCGAATTGTTTGGCCAAGCGTTAGCGTTGCCTTTGGCGGGCTCTCTTTGAGAGAGTCACCGCTCCTTTGGTGACGGAGGAATTGGTTGGAACCAGCTCGATCTGGTTGGAGGTTGGTGGAGCCTCACCCGACGCAACTTTGGCGTCAATCGGGATGAGGTCGTCGTTGGTAGCTTCAACTTCTTCGTACCAACGCACCTTTCTGCTGGAAGAGAACTTGGACTTCTTAGACTTGCGAGGGGAGGTAGATCCGGACGAGGATGAAAGGTACTCCTCGAACTTTTGTTGGTCGAACTCATACTCGACCTCCTCCTCGACCGGGATCGAGATCCGCGGCTGCGACGCAACGATCTCGGCAGCGAGATCGTTGGCTCCCACTGTGGTCGCCAGATTGTTCGCGGGAAAAATTGTTGCTTTCTTCATTAATGATTCCATTGTACACTCTTGTAATAGTCTATCGATTACAAAGATCCGGTCTTTTTATAAGATCCGGTTACAACGAAAATCAAATAAAAATAAACAAAGATTACAACTTTTCTCCTTTATGTCGAACGAATCGCGAGCTCCTGTTTTGCGGTCGCTCGCTTTGTGGGTTCTTTGCCTGCGCCGGGGTTGTTTGCCGTGGACCACCGCGCGATCTAGATCCGGTCGGATCTACGCAGTACAACGGGTATTATTTCACCAAGGAAATAATAGCCGGGGAGGATTGTTTCACCAAGGAAACAATCGTCCAAGTCTCGGGATCTAAGACCAAGCTTAGATCCGGAGTATGCCTGCGTAGATCTGAGATCTGATCCTCTCGAACACCTGCCTTATTTGACGTTGATGATCGCCGAGCACCAGATCTGAAGGAGTGAGTCCCCGAAGTCCCAAAGTTTCAATCTTTTGTAAGTTCCGAGTCTCCAATCCAGCAGGGCTTCGCCTCTCTTCAAAATTTCCAACCCTCTCACAAATGAACCAAGGGGGCCTATTTATAGGCTCCCTTTACTGTGCCCGCGAAATGACAACTGTCGGCCACCTCTGGGTGGCCGCGAAATGACAACTGTCGGCCACCTCTGGGTGTTGTGGTTTTTTGCCGTTTTTTCCGATCTCGTGATTCGGTTGATTTAGATCCCGATTTGGCAGTAAATCTGATTCCTGATTTGGCAGTAAATCTGGATCCTGATTAGGCAGTAAATCTGATTCCTGTTTTAGCAGTAAATCTGGATCCTGATTAGGCAGTAAATCTGGATCCTGATTAGGCAGTAAATCTGATTCCTGATTTGGCAGTAAATCTGGATCCTGATTAGGCAGTAAATCCGATTCCTGATTTGGCAGTAAATCCGATTCCTGATTTGGCAGTAAATCTGGATCCTGATTAGGCAGTAAATCCGCTTCAGAGTTCGAGTCCGAAACTGATCTTGATTCGATCGTGATTCGTCCGAGTTTCCCCTTGGTTGGATGACTCGTTGACTCTTGGCCGATTCCGAATGCGAACGGATGTATTCCGTGGCTTGCATGCGATTCGTCGATCTCGTCGCCTCGTTGGTTCGTCGGTTTGTGCCGAGCTGTGCTAAGGGATCTATAAGCAATTTTATACGCCTACAACAAGTATTGACAGAAAAAACAAAGTGAATGAAATTTTTACTAAGAGTGCAAGAAAAAAGAAATTAAACATCAAAATACCTAGTTGTTTTTCGGAGTCGGATGGTGAACTTCAAATTCTGCATGTATAAATAAACAAGAATCAATTGAATAAATGGAACTAGTTGTAAATAAGATGCATCACTCAACTAATGTAAATAGCTTTGTGAACAATTAAACATTAAAATACCTAGTTATTTGATAAGTTAGCAACAAGAGAATTAGTGCAACTACTTTTATAATGTCCCTTTTGACCACATCTGCCGCATGTCCTCTTTTTTATCTCCTTTTTTTCCTGTGCTTGTTCAAGTCCCGATTTCAATCTACTAATTGTTCTCGGTCGTCCCTTATGTTTTGTAGACTCGAGAGGGTCACGAACAGTGATTTGAGGGAGTTTCTCAATAGTATGGGAATGAGTACTAGATTCAACCCGACTCGTAGCTTCAGTCTCTTTGATTTGCTTAGCACTGATATCTTTTTCATGTTTTTCCATCAAGTTAGAAAAAAAGTTATCTATTTCATCAAAGACCATAGGTGATTCATGTGCACATTCCATCACGTTATTAAATTTTGCTCTCAAAGCCCAAGAACGTAAAGTACTCCATTGTTCTCTATTACTATTAAAGTTTTTTTCCAACAACACATTAGAGACTCCAATATTACGGTGCCTTGCATTCATTGTCCATCTATGCATAATGTATTCTTCAGGAATTCTTACCAACTGATTCGATATCATAATATGAATGGCATGCCTACATAATATTCCTTCGGTCTCAAACATAGCACATGTACATGTTATTCTCTGTTCATTTTGATTATAAACTACTTGCTCCCATACACTTCTTTCAGTAGAGAGCGAGCCAACTATGTATTTAGAATTTGATTCTTCTTTTCCCATCTCATCATGAAACAAAGATACAGAAGCTTTAAGCTCATCTTGAAACCTCTCAAATATAGCTCTTGTATATGACTCTCCAGCTTGAATCTCAATCGGATGGTTTAGATGCATCACAGGCGTTGTATTCAAAGTAGCAAAATCTTCACTTAATTCTTGAGAACGACGCGACAATATTGCTTTATCATATTGCTCAACAAAGTCGGGCAACAATGTTTGTGAGTTGACGTATGTGTCAAAGAAGGCATTTATACTTTCACTACGTTGGCTTGATGTCATTCCTGCAAAGAAAGTATCTTTGAGATAGCATGGCACCCAATGTGTTCTATTTCTGTACATGGTTTGCAACCAACCTTCCTCATTTTCTTCTATATTGAACTTTTCTTTTAACTCATCCCATTGCTGAATACATGTTTCAACTGTCTTGCTATGCCACCATCTATTAAAGTAGTTCGCAAACTCTTCTCCATGCAACTTTTGTAGAGATAATAAATGATCAACCATGTGCTTGCCAAGATGCCATTTGCAATAGCGATGTCGAGTATTTGGAAACACTCTTTGAATGGCATTACATATAGCTTTGTCATGGTCTGTAATAATAGCATGCGGAGCCACCCCATTCATACATTTAACCCATTCAGTAAACAACCAGACAAATGTGTCTTCTTCCTCATCTGCAAGTAGTGCACAACCAAACAAAGTTGACTGTCTATGGTGGTTAACACCAGTAAATGGAGCAAAAGGCAGTGCTAACTTGTTAGTTCTATATGTAACATCAAAAACAACAACGTCATGAAACTTTAAGAATGATGCCCTTGCCCGTCCATCTGCCCAAAATACACTCCTCATAGTTCCTGTAGTATCTAATTCAATAGCAAAATAAAAATCTGGATCAAATGTCCTTTTATCTATGAATTTTTGAATGACTAATATGCATTCATTACCCATGTTATTCTTTCTCTATTTTCTGATATGATCACTACATTGTTGCGGTGTGACGATTTCCTCCCGACATTTATTACTCGTGAAATTGTTGCTGGCGGAAGCCCTTCTTCATGCAAACTATCAATCAGACTTCGAACATTTATTACTCGTGAAATTGTTGCTGGCGGAAGCCCTTCTTCATGCAAACTATCAATCAGACTTCGACAACCTTTTGTTCGATGTAACTTTCGATGTGAATAATGATTCTTAACCTTATCTGACAACCTTTTGTTCGATGTAACTTTCGATGTGAATAATGATTCTTAACCTTATCTGGACTAGTCAACTCATGATTTGTATGCTCATTAACAAGTTTGCTCACTATCCATGTACCTTTATCAGTACGATTGACCCGCAACATCGCCTTGCAACCGACTCTAGTATCTCTTCGACGCTTGACTATTTTTCCGTGCTCTCTCTTATCATTTATAAATTTTAGACCCTCCTTATTACAAACAAATTTCTTTGATATGAGTTCTTTTCCTTCTTTCCTAGAGTAATTGCCTGAGCTTATGCGGACACTGAATCCTTTTATTTTTGCATAATCATTGTAATAATCATACGCAACAGTATATGTGGGAAATTCCATTCCAATCCATGGTTCCACGGTATTGGACTTGCCATTATCAATAGAATTAACATGATTAATTTTCTCTTGCTCCAGCTCATGCTCTGTATTACTACAATCAACAAATCCACTTCCTTCCACATTATCAGTCATCAAACTGTCTACATGAACATCGGCCATATTGAAATCGACCTAAACAATATTAATCAATTTTAATTAGTATAATTATAACATCCAAAGATTAAAAATACATAAAACAGTTAAATTAAGGAGAAAATAACTTCTAAATAATTTCAAAATGTTAAAAGCTCAATTAATCCAAAGATTGAAAATACATCAAACAGTTAAATTAAGGAGAACAATTCAATTTCCATTAGTATAATTATATCAAAGATTGAAAATACATCAAACAGTTAAATTAAGGAGAACAATTCAATTTCCATTAGTATAATTATATCATCCAAAGATTGAGAATACATCAAACCGTTAAATTAAAGAGAAAAACAAGCATGATGAAAGTAGTCTACCCAAAAATAATATTGCACCTAAAGATTCTGACGCCATTGATGCTGACGGTAACGGAACTATATATTATATTTTCCCAAAAACGATAAAGATGAATGTTTAACTAATTGTGCAAAATGCTACAGATATTGATCAGTAATGTCAAGGAGTTTCCATGTCCCGTGAGGAAAAAGTTAGCAATCTGAAAGCTGTGAGTCTTCAAGGATGAAAATTTTATGCCCTACCACCGGTTGTTATTCCTTTCTATTTCACAAGCATGAGAATTTTATGCCCTAGCATATGGATACTGGACTAATTCATGATTTTTTTCTTAAAGAAGCATCATGGCATGCAAGTTCCACACAATCCTAGAAGTTATAACTTGCTTGAGGTATTTATTTACAATTACAGTACTTGAAATTTTTTCTAAGAATTTTGATAAATTTATGAACTTTAGCATTAAAGCCCTAATAAGAAGTATAGTCTTGTTGAGCAATAATTCTATGTAACGTTTTTTTGCCCCTTTTCATCACATCAACCTATAACTTTCTAAATTATCATCACGATCATCATCACTTTTCCTCCTAGATGGTTTTCATACTCCTTGCATATAGAAGTTTGGGATACGGAGTCTTCAAGGATACTGGACTAATTAATCCTTACCGGCGATTGGGCAAGGAGGTCCGCCGGCGCTTGGGGAAGGAGGGCAGCGGCGGCGGTGAGGTCTGGGACAGCGAAGAGATCGGCGGCTTATTTGGGATACGGAGGTGAAGGAGGGCCGCCGGCGCTTGGGGAAGGAGGGCAGCAGGATTTTGCTTGGGGATTTTCCACGGAGATCGACGAAGAGTCCTGCGGTTAGGTCTGGGATTTTGGGGAAGGAGGGGGATGACGAAGATGAAGGTTTGGGAATTATGGGCTGTTTGGTTGTTGTTGGTAAAGTTGTGTATTTATGACACAACTTGGAAAGTTTTTGTCCACCTCATCAATTTCACTTTTATACTTTTCTTTGTTTGTTTATGATTCCATTGGAATCATAAAACACTTGTTTAGTTTGTAAAATAAAACTTTAATTGTTTGTTTGGAAAGTGTAAAAAGTGGTCCATACTCAAATGATCATATTTGTTGAAATTATTTTTTATTATTTTTTCCTAACTTCAATGTTAGCTTTCTCCTAAGGGCCTGTTCGTTTGGCATATTTTTTTGGGAAATCAAAGAATAGGAAATCTATTTCCTATAATAATTGTTTTGAGGTTGTTTGGTTGGTTTAAAAGAGAAGGAAATTGTAGAATAGGAGATGAGATGAGATGAGTTGTCACCTTATTATTGGATGATGTGAGTGATTTAAAAAAAAAGATTGTTTTGAGGTTGTTTGGTTGGTTAAAAAAATAAGGAAATGAATTAGAGGTATATTATTGGATGATGTTTTGAGGTTGTTTGTGTTTGGTTCGTTTTTAAAAATAGGAAAATAGATGAGATGAGATGAGTTGGAGGTATATTATTGGATGATGTGACACATACTTAAGGAAATCAATTTCTTGTTTTTTTTAGGAAATGGATGGAAAGGAATGTTTAATGAGATGAGATGAGTTGTCACAGTATTATTGGATGATGTGTGTGATTTTTAAAAATGGGATAAGATGAGATATATATATATATATATATATATATATATATATATATTTGATCTTATATCAACTTAAGTGGACATCAAGCCTTTGTCCACCAAAGTTTCTATACACTCATTTATATATATAAAAAAGCTCTTTATATCATGCAAGGATCTCTGGAAAACATGAGTGGATAGAAGCTTTGGGGGACCATCCGCTTAAATTGACACGAGTGGATAGAAATTTCCTGCGCTCGAGCTACGCGTGATTGGAGCGGATTTCGGCTAAGTGGAATTAACGAAGCACTGGGTTTTTTTTTGCAAAATTCCTACTCTTCTCCCTCAGTTCTCCTCCTCCTCCTCCTCATTTCTTCCCCGTCATTTCTTCTCCATTTTCCTCGCCATTTTTTTTCTCCAGGTCATTTCTTCCCCCAAGGTCATTTCCTCATATATTTTCAAAAAATCCCTCGACAGATCGGGTTACCCTCTGCTCTCCCGTTGTTCGGTTCCCAGCAAGATTTCCATCTCATCCCCTTCTTGTAAGTTGTATTCCCCTTCATTAATTATTTTTGTTTTTCTGTTTTAAATTTTGATTTATGGGATCTAGTGACCTATTTTCGTCGATTTTCATTTCTGATTGGTTGCTGATTTGACGTAGATTTCGTTTCTTTTACCTCAATTTGGTTGAAATTTGGTGCTTAGGGTTTTTATTTTTGTGAATCGGTTCCTTTTCAGTGAGGCTAATCAGAAATGAAGAACTTTTATCTTGTTTGTATGAACTTTTATCCCGACAGTACCCCATACATGTATCTCGTCCTCTTTCTGCTTGCAAGAAATGATACCGTAAGGGTAACGTATGATATATAATCGGCCGTATTTGTTCGCATACAGTTCTGACAAATAGCGACAAAGTATATAATTCATTTTATTTTCATAATGAAACAATTAGAGTGATGACACTGCAAATAAGGATCAAGCCCATGCCCAAATTAGTAAATTAGACCTTAAATTAGTTTAGAGATAACATTACTGTTCTTATTATACTCTTTAGCTAAACACCTACTTGGGTATATACCAGCATATGCACCCAACATCTATTTGCTGATGTCTGCGAAGTGGTTCAATAAAGCCATACAATTTGATGGCTCACGATAAATTCAAGACATTTGTCTCATTTTGATCAAATTAGTGCAAATGAAGTTGGTTAGTCCTAATCATCAATAGTTTTCTATGCTAAAAAGTGTCAAAATTTTGTTCGTGCTTCATTGGCTCTCTCATTTTCCGTTTTTTATTTGTGAGATCTTATTATAATATCGAAACATTATAGCGCAATTAACCGTTGTTATTTGATGCTAATCACGAGTGCATGAGTTGATAATTCATCTCATAGTAAGAATTAATGTATATTACCCTGCTATTGGTTTAACTATTTAAACATTTTCTCCCACAAGGGGAAGCTATATATGATCAACCAAATGATGCTATATGTTTCATTTCTTTCATAGAATTTTACTAGATGGAACGATTAACACTTGATATGTATGTCGTACTTGATAGTGATTAAATCATAGAGATTAAACAATAAGAACGTTAAATCATAGAGATTAAACAATAAGAACGGAAGCTATACCTGAATCCATAGAGAATCTGAATTAGGGTTTTGATGATCTTCTAATCTTAGGGTTTCTTTTGGCCCATCATCAAATTATAAATACAACCTGGTATCTGTACATTTAACTCGTGATACATTTAAATACTCATTAACCCAAATTGATTGATCACTTTATGCGGGTTATCCAGGATAGCAATACACACTGATAAACATATGTGTCCACAAATTAGATTTAATTAGATTTAAATCCAATAATATAATTACCTAAACATATATTATATTATATACTTATGTGTTTGTGTGCGCACGCTTTCTTAGCATTGTATAGATACTAAGATATAAGTATATTTACCGCAATTATAAGTATAGTTGTATGTGTATATTATAAACTTACAATTATAACTAAAATTATATATAAGTATATTACATCTAGTATGTATAAAAATATATCATATAAGTAAAGTGTATAGCTATAGTTAAATAAATATAATGTAAGTATGTAACAAATACATATATAACTATATAATATGTATTTATAAGTAAGCAATATATACTTATGTGATTCTCTCTTTCTCTCTCTCAAGTTATAACTTATAAGTTATAAGTATATACAATATATTTACATATAATATATGTATATATAATATATAGCTATATAATAATATGTAAGTATATACTAATACTTATATAAATATTATAAGATTAATCTAATTTTTTAGCAATTTTTAGCCAATAAAATAAAAAACAAAAACAAAAACGGGTACGGGCCACCCGTTTTGCCCGGCCCAGACCTAGATTTCCGGGCTGGACCTAGCCGGACCAGCACGAATGGACAAGCCTAGTGAAGAGCAAAGAATGTTACATTCTACCTCCCTTGTCACCTTCTTCGCAACAACTTTTGCATAATTGGACTAGCTTTTAGAGCTACATATTCCTGAAGAGTCAAAAGATTACTCTAGGTCCTTAATGTATAAGTTAAATTTTATTTGAATTCTTAAACTATAGGAGTCATCTACAGAGATCATTAACATTTTCTTCATTATCAAATTAGGTTCTTTTTTAAATTTGTCGTTATCTATTGCTGACATGGCAAAACCTTTCTGTTATTCTTAAGTTTATTTGATGATTGGACTACCTTTTCTCTCCTCTTTTTGACACGCGACACCTTAAAGTCTTAAAAATTACAATAGCACCATGAAAATCTTGAACATTGTAAATACCCCCTTAAGATTTTTCAAAAGCTACAAGTAGTCCCCTAAAAAAGTTACAACGAACCTCCTAAAAGCATAGAAAATTACAAATAACCCCCTAAAAGTTAAAAAATCCCATGATAAATACACAAATAGCCCTCAAAAGTTTTGAAATTATAAATAGACCTCTAAATTTTTACAAATAGAACCTCCAAAAAATTCAAACAACCTCCTGAACGTTATAAAAATTACGCCCTAAAATATTTATAGATAGCCCTCTGGAAGTTTTAAACTTTATAAATAGCCCCAAATTTTTTTTCAGAAGTTACAAGTAGTCTCCTAAAATTTTCTAAATAGATATTATAAGTTTTGAATTTACAAATAACCCCCTAAAGATGTATAAACCCCCCCTAGAAAATATACAAATAGGCCCGAAGGTTTTGAAAATTATAAAAAGACCTCTAAATTTTTACAAACATGCCCTCAAAAAATTTACAAATAGACCCTAACCCTAATTCTGTACAAAAATCCCTTGAAAATTTTTGAGGGTCTATTTGTAAATATTTAGGAAGGCTATTTGTAAAAATTCAAGGATCGATTTATAGTTTTTAGAACTTTCAGGGGTTGTTTGTATATTTTCTAGGGAGCTCTTTATAAAATTTAGAAGGCAATTTGTTATTTTTTAAACTTTGAGAGGGTTATTTATAATCTTTAAAACTTTTAGAGGGATGTTTGGATAATTTTTGAGGAATGTTTGTAGCTTTTAACAATATTTAGAGAGGGATGTTTGGATAATTTTTGAGGAATGTTTGTAGCTTTTAACAATATTTAGATGACTATTGTAATGCTAAAAACTTTCAGGAGGCTATTTGTACATTTTTATAAGGTTATTTGTAACTTTTAGAACTTTTAAGGGACTGTTAGTAAATTTTTTGAGGGTTTGTTTGTATACTTCGTGGGGCTTTTTATAGTTTTCAAAACTTTTGGGGGCTATTTTATATTTTCTTGGGGGCTTGTTATAAATATTCAGAGGGTCATTGACATTTTTATAACATTCAACGGCTGGTTGTAAAAGTTTTGAAAATATTTAATGGGATATTTGTAATGCCCAAATGTTTTAGGGTGTCATTTATAATTTTCTAAACTTGTAGACGGTTGTTGGGCAAAAAAGAGAGAGAAAAGACAATCTAGTCGGCAAATAAAATCGAGGATAAATTTTTTTTGCAATGTTAGCAACATATAACAATTTTTTTTTAAAAACACCTAATTTGATGATAAATAAAACATTACGGATTTCTTTTGATGACTTTCAATGTTTAAGTGTTAGTAAAAATAAAGAAGGAGACAAAATTTCTGAGGCGTGAAAGCATTTTTCTTAAAGAAATATTGGCCTCTCTTGGTTAGAAGATTGAAATTTTCAGAAAGCAAATCTATAACTTTCCATCAATTCTCTATGAAACAAGTTTGTAGGATTGTAAATTTTAAGAGAGAATTTTGAGAAAGAAGTGAGTTATGATGTCTGAAATTATAAACTATTTATAAGTTTGAAAAGTGTCTCCAAGAGTCATAAATTTTCAAAATGACCCTTAGGGAAAAAATATTCATTTTTCAACAGTTAGAAAATAGCCATTTTCCAACAGTCTACTTCTAACAGTCATATGTCTGTTAATATTTTCACAATTTTAAAAAATTAAAATAATAATAATAGTAGTAATAAATAAAATAATATTTTAAAAATATATAGTAACAAGTTAGAATATTTGAGCGACAACGTCCAAAGTGCTAAGTACGTCTAATAATCGTGTCAAAATCGCACATTATTCATGCTACGCGCACACAGGTTTAGAAGTCTATGATTTGACCTATTTATCAAAGCCAAATAATCATTAAATATTTTTAAACCTCTAAAAGAATGCTCAAATGTCCGATGTGTGACTGTGTTTTTTTTACAAACAATTATTAACAATCCCCCACTTTGTTTAGAAAAACAAAATTTAAAAATATTATTTATTTAAAAATAATTTGCAATATGTACAAATTGAGTTAAATATACATATGTAGAGGTATCTTTCGATGTAAACATTTACTTAGGAAAAACATTTCAAAGCGCTATCAAATTTTTTAATTGTCTTAACATTAAACTAATTACTCTTTGTGATAGAATCGGAGAATGTCGTACATATATTGATCTCTTGTTTCGATGAGAATTAATATTTTAGCACTGTTATGGCCTTGTGCTTATTCCCGATTCATGAACCCTCTAACGAGCAAACTTTTAGCTCTTTTAAGAAGCATCAACACTTCTAAGTTTAGATAGTTGAAATATCTACAATGTGTTCTCCATTACTTTGAACATACAACATTAATATATTAGACTTTCATTAAGAGCACAATTCATCCTCTTATTTCGTAATGGATGATATTGATATTATATTTTAAGGCATAATGTATCAATATCAATCAATCGCTTTTAGAAACTTGTTATTACTTATTTAAATTTTTTAATCAGTTCAATTCTAGTAAATAGTCGAGCTACCATTCTTGGTGATCTTAAATATAAGTTTTCAGCCCCATTTTGCTTGATGTTGTCTTTACTACCTCTCTTGCTAAGGTTTTGTAAATGGATCAACCAACTTTTAGAGGCTCATTTTCAACCCCATTTTGCTTCATACAGCTCTTCTATGGCCAAAAATAAATGTAAGGATTTGCTCGATACTATCTTAATTTACCTACTAAA